CGCACCCACCACCCCTTGGGCGTACCACCCTGCCGTCAGCCAGCCGGGCGCGGTTAGGAACCCCAGAGCTTTAAACTCGGGTTTATGGGCGCTGAAAGCTGGCAAATGACCGTTAGCCAGAGAGTGAGTTTCTTAAAGCTTTTAAAATCGCCTCCTTCGTTATACAAGCCTCTAAAGCTCATTGACTGACGCTTTCTTTGCCCTTGTATAACTGAGTAACTGCTTCTGTTTAACAGCTGCTTCCCATTGGCAAGTGATTTGTCAGGTCTAAAATAACTTATTTTTTTTAAGGAAAAAAAAAAACTTTAAAGATTTTTTTGATGACCATTCGGGCCACATTCTCTCTGCAGGTGCACGACACGCATTATCAGAGGGATTGGGCCTAATTATGTATTTTAAGTGCATATGAACTTGTAAATAGGATGTCTTAATTTTTTCCCAACGGCTGTTTTTTGGACACCTCCGTTGTAAGCAACCAAAAGGCAGGAGATTCAAAGCTAAGTCACGTTTCTGTATTACTTCTCAGTCCTTTTGTTACCTTGGAGTTGTTCATCACTCGAGTTTGTCTCAGCAGCATCGGATAGCCTAGTTGTCTCCCTCGTACAGTGAATTAGGAGTTAGCCAGGCGATCGATACCAAAACGTGGTGAAGAAAGCTCACCCTGGCAGTATCACCGGGGAGAAAACGCAGACGGCGGGGGTTCGTGCCGCAAACACCGATTGCAGGATACGGGGTGACTCTCCAGGAAAGCAGAAACGAGTTCTTGCTGAAGCCTGCTCCCGTATTTTAAGTTGCAAACACCAAAAGAGTCGGGACAGGCTGGCTTACGCCTCCCATCTGGGTCTCAGATGGGGCCGGGGGAGGAAGTTAATTGGTGCTGATGTGAAGACTTCTGCTGAAATGGCAAATCACCCCCAAAAATCATCCTCCCCAAGTGGGAAGCTCACCACCAGACGACTTTACCTCCGGGATGCTTAGCCCAGACTGAACACTCCTCCCCACCGGGTTTGTGGCTCCCTTCAAGCAGCTGTGTGACCCCCGCCATCCCTCCCCCCCACAGGCGCCGGGCTCTGACAGCCGGCCGCTGCTCGCGCGAGGGTGTTGGGGGGGGGGGGGGGGGGGGGAGTCGGCCCCGCCCTGCCACACTTGGACAGGCGCTCTTGTCGTTAACGCACACGTGCCCTTAGTGCCAACCCGCACTAATTATTTCAGCAGTAGTTCTTTATCCTTGCAGAGCGCCTTGTTTCTTTTGGTTATGCTACAAAAAAATACGTGGTGTCTCCTTTCCGAGGCTGGCTATCGCGGTGTCTGCGCGGCTCCTTGGGCTTAATACCTCTCCAGGAGCAGGTTCCTGGGAGCGCGAGTCCGACCAGGGCTCGCCCTTGGCTGGTATTTGCACACCTCCGATCCCCGCGTTATTTTCGGCATGGTTGTGTGCATCCTCCAGGAATGATCCCTGACGCTCTGTGCGGGATCGCTCCTTCGTTATTCCGGCGTACTGCCGGCGGGCGGCCCAGCTGATCACCGCAAGCCACCAAAACTGTCTTTGGTCCCTTTTCCCGTGTATGTTTGCTTTTTCTGTTGTTGGTGATGCCCCTCCCTTTAACACTAAATAAATGTATTGCTGCTGCCCAGCGTGGCGCAGCACAAATCACCGGTCATTCTCACAGTGACCCTTGCTCGGGGACAAGCGGCGGGGGGGTGGTTCTCCCGACG